GGCGGTCCCCGAAGCGGCTCACATTTATCTCTGTGTCTCCTGCAGAGCCTCTTCCTCTCCGAGTCAGACCTGCTAAGGCAGCTTAATGCTACCTGAGCATGCCTTGGGCTTGCCGGTCCTCCACAGCCCCTTCCACCACTCAGGGTGTAAGGGGAATTGGCCCCTGGGAGTGCCTACTTGTCCCATCCCTTTCCTAAAGAGCTCCTGTCTGGAGAGCCAACTTGTGCATCTGAGCCACAGTAGGGAAAAAGCCCTTGGCACCCCCGCATAGGAAGTTGCCGAGGCTTTTCTGGGCTTGGCTTCTAAGTCATAATTTACCCTATGGATGGTCCGCCTAAGGAAGATATTCAGAGAATGTCTTGCACATTCAGCATACCTTGAAGAGGAAGGCATCAGAGAAAATGAAGAAACTGATAGCCGGCAGCCTTACGTTATCTGACTCTGCCTTCAAAACCCTAACCTCCTCCAAGCAGAAGAGCCCGTCTCTACCTCTAAATAGCTGCAGAATATCTTTTTCTCCTTTTACTTACATTAAAAAGCATCACTGTAAGAGACACATTTTAACGCCTCTCAGTCTTCCCTCTCAGGAAATTTATTCTCATATTTGACTTCAGTGCTTTCCTGCTACAATATGTGCACTCCAGAGAGAGGGGGAAAAAGCTAACTGGCATTATCGTACTAAATATCTCTGTTTTTTACAGCCACCACTAAATCTGGACACAGCATCTCCCCCAGACACAATAAGCTCAGTTCCTTTATCTTTTCTGTGTATATCGCATTTTGCAGTTCTTTGTGTCTGTTATGACTGACCTCATGTGAATGACAGTATCAGACACTGCAGAGGGGTAGAGAGGAGACAGCAGATAAGGTGCTGCCGAAGGGGCTTAGAAGCTCCTAAAGAGAGAGAAAATAAACCCTTGTGAAATATATTTACGCACACAGAAACACTAAATAAATGCACAGCTAACTTTAGCTTGTACATATAATGTTGATAAAATACTAGAGATGACTGTGCCCCGAGTTGGTTGGTTATTGTGAGAAAAAGAAGAATCAGCTATTTGGAAGCAAGGAGGGCCCAGTCTAGTAAGGAAAAGCTCAGAAAGAAAACCACACACTTACAGTAAATTCACTTACAACCAAAGAGCCAAGAATACACAATGGCAAAGGGACAGTCTCTTGCACAAATGGTGCTGAGAGGACTGGACAGCCACATGCAAAAGAAGAAAACTGGGGGATAAGCTCCTTAACCCGTGATTTTTTAAATCTGACACAGAAAGCAACAAAAGCAAAAGTAAACAAATAAAAAGTTTCTGCACAGCAAACCATCAACAAAATGAAAAGGCAACCTACTGACTGGAAGAAAATAATTGCAAATCATAGAGCTGATAAGGAGCCAATATTCAAAATGCAGAATATAAAGAATTCGTACCTTTCAATAGCAAAACACCGATTAAACAATGGGCAGAAGCTCTAAATAGTCGTGTTTCCACAGAAGACATGCAAGTGGCCAGCAGGTACATGAAAAAGTGCTCCACATCACTAATCATCAGGGAAAACAATCAAACCCAGAGTGAAATACCACCTCACACCTGTTAGAACGCTCATTATCTAAAGGGAAAAAAGGGTTGGGAGGATGTGGAGAAAGGGAACCCTTGTGCACTGTTGGTGGGAAGGTAAACTGGAACAGCCACTGTGGAGAACAGTGTGGGGGTTAATCCAGCAGTTCCACTTCTAGGGATGTATCTGAAGAAAATGAGAAAATATATGTACCCCCATGTTTATTGCTGCATTATTTATGATAGCCAGTTATGGAAACAACTAGAAAATGTGGTCTATATATATACAACAGAATATTATTCAGCCATAAAAAAGAATAGAATTTTTCTTTTCCATTCGCAACAACATGGACCTTGAGGAGGTTATGCTAAGTGAAATGAGTCAAACAGAGAAAGAAAAATACCATGTGATCTCACTTACCTGTGGAATCTAAAAACAAAACAAAAACAAAGACCAAAGAAACCAAACTCATAGATACAGAGAAGAGATTGGTGGTCGCCAGATGTGTGGGAGGAATAGGTGAAGGGGGTCAGAAGGTACAAACCTCCAATAATAACATGAGCCATGGATGTGATAGACAGCATGGTTACTATAGTTAATAATACTGTTCTGCATATGTGATGGGTGTTAAATAGACTTACAGTGGTGATTATTTCACAGTGCGTACAAATATCAAATCATTATATTATACACCTATTACTAATACAGGGCGGAGCAAAAGTAGGTTTATAGTTGTTTGTATGGAAAATAATACAATCAATAATAATATAAGAATAAACTCTCTATTTTGCATACCTACTCTGTATATTGTAATGGTATATGTCAATTACACCTTATAAAATTTTTTAAAACCTGGGTATTGCCTTTATCACTCATCAGATGTGCTCATTGACATATCCACCAGCAGTAAGCACAACACCTGACTTATTTTCAAGACTCAATGAGTGTTTGTTGACTGGACAACTGACTGGCTCCAGTACTCTACTAAGAGAATACCAGCATGATGTGGTTTGTAAACTTATAAATAATTCTTATATCCTTTATGCTCTCAGTCATAGAATTTTGAGGTTTTGAAGCACAAAGAACTTTAAGTAACAAAACATTATAGATAGGCTACCCTGCATTTGTACCTGCTACAGTTCATTTTAGTTGCCTTTTGCCACCTTGCTTTCATTTTGCCTGCATAAGGAATTTCATTTAATAAGCAGTCACCTTTGGGAAGGATCATGCCCTCCAGGCAGCTGTGCTGGAACTCCTCCCTCCCCGTATTAGGTCATCATGCACTGCTGTCCGTGTAGTCCCACTGAAGGACTGTGTCCTGTGTTTCCTTTTTGCACATATGTTTGGGTCTCCAGTCTTCTTGCAAATGCATAGATATAGATATAGATATAGATATAGATATAGATATAGATATAGATATATATACAGTAGCCCCCACTTTAACCCTAACGGATATGTTCCAGCACCAGCAGAAGGATGCCTGAAACCACGACAGTACTGAACCCTATACACTGTTCTTTCCCATGCATACATGCCTGTGATACAGTTTAATTTATAAATTAGGAATAGTAAGACACTAACAACAATAGCCAATCGTAACATAGAACAATTACAATAGTAAAATAAGGGTTACTTGAACACGAGCACTGAGATACCACCACAGTTAATCTGACAACCAAGACAGCTGCTGAGTGAGTGAAGGACGGTTAACATATCCAGCACGGGTGCGCTGGGCAGAGGGATGACTCACGTCACAGGTGGGACAGGGCAGGACAGTGTGCCATTTCATCACGCTGCTTAGATGGGTGTGAAAACTTATGAATTAAGACTTATGAAAAAACTTACAAATTATTCCTGCAATGTTCCATTTAATATTTTTGAACTGCAGGTTACTGAAACTATAGGAAGTAAAACCACAGATAAGGGTGGACTACAGTTTTGTTTTGTTTTTTTAAATCTGTAGATGCAATGTTGTATTCAGGATTGGATCCTTGAACGAAGGACATTAGTGATAAGATTGGTGAAATCTGAATGACGTCTATAATTTACATAATAGTTTATCTCTTAGTTTTGATACCATGGTTGTATCCAATGTTATATTAGGGGAAGCTGGGTAAAGGGAGGAGGAATGACTTAATCTCTATATTTGTCAAATAATGCATACTTAACTGAAAGACTGAATAATGAATTTCCTAGTGAGCAGGATGGATATTAGGTCAGTGGCTATGAACTCTGGCTGCACTAATTATCAGGAGAGTTTGTGTCATGTTTAACACTGATTTCTGGGTTATATCCATGCTTGTTCCCTGTTATTTTCTAAAAGCTCCCAAGTAATTCTAATACACAGCCAGGGTTGGGATCTAGCATGTTCGGCCATTCCAGAAATAAATGCCCATGCATTACTCTCTTTCAACAACCAACCACACTGTATTGTAATGACCAGTTCATGTACTGTTCCCTCACTTGACTGTATGCTTCTTGAACTCAGATACTAGGATTATCTTACTCATAATTGTCTTCCTAGTGCCTGACATGTAGTGGATAGCTATAAGTGTTCATTTAAGAAATTGGTGGTTTCCTTCATTTAGGACGCACAAAAAATTGCATAGTACCATGTAAGACAAAGAGAGAATAATGCTAGAATCATGAGTTTTGTTGTGTGCATGTAGTATTGTTTTGTAGCCATCTATTATTTGGTACCTATCTCTTTATCCATAATCTGTTGTTTGTTTTTAAAGTTTGCTCACTGTCATTTACCCAGATGCTATGAATTGACAGCAGCAAAAGACATGGGACTCTGTCAGAGAGTCCCAATTTGTGCTATTTTGTTCCATTATTCCCATTTGTACCTAGGCTCTACAAGTTATTGTCACCATGCATGTAAGAGGATAGCTCACTGATGGGACATTGAGCACCACTGTCCCTGCTAATGAAACCTGTGGACGCCTCCAGACAGAAGACACATAGGCTGCCACCCCCATTATTTTTCTCAATTCCAGAATCTATTAAATTGGGCGTAGAATAACGGAACTGGAAAGATTTAGAGAATGGAGTTCAGTCACCTTCATTCAACGGTAAAGCAGCTGAAGTGGGTTTTGTGACTTGCCTGAGATGGCCCAGCTTGTTAGGGGCACAACTGGTACAAGAAACCCGGTGCTCTGGCCCATAGGCCTGACCACTCTGTGGTACTGATGGCACCTCGGGTTACAATAGAAATCAAGGAGCAGACTTTTATTTCCATCTCACGATCTGTGTTAGGAAGAAAAATATCTGGAAAAAGGTCTTATTACAGATTTTTCAGAGGGTATGAGGAGGAGTACAGGTGGACAGGGGAGAAGGCAGACGAAAGGGACCTTGAATGAGACTTTGAAACTTATCAGAAAAAAGTGCAGCACCACTGTGGCAGCACCACAGTTCATCTGGGTTTCTGTCCTTGTTTTCAGAATTTTCCCCAGAGAATACCTCCTCCAACAAATCCACCTGTATTCCCTCGCCGATCTGCAGCAGGTAAGTACTCCGAGGGGCCATTTCATTTCTGTTCTCTCCCTGGGGAGGTGTCTTTGTTGATTATGGTCTCGGCACTGAATTCAGCCACCCTGGGGTAGCTTTCTTTCAAGCCCTGATAATTGATTAATTTCTCTTCAGAATGGGAAAAATAAAGTTAGTATAAAAAGATACTCCAGGACAATAAGAACCGTTGGCAAGGACGTAGAGATGTAGAGAAATCGGAGCTCTCATCTATTGCTGGTGGGAAAGCAAAGTGCTACAGCCACTGTGGAAAAGCAGTCTGGTGGCCCCTCAAAGAACTCGACAGTTACCATGTGGCCCAGCAATTCTATTCCTAGACATGTACCAACAGAATTGAAAACACACGTCCGCTTTAACATATAATACATGCATATTCATAATAGCCAAAGAGTGAAAATGCAAATATTCATCATCAGATGAATAGGTAAACAAAATGTTGTATGTCTGTACAATGGACTGTTATTTGGCCATAAAAAGGAGTACAGTACTAATACATGCAGCAACATGAGTGCACCTAGAAAACATCATGCTGCAAAAAAACAGATAGAAAAAATACATGTTTTATGATCTTCTTCAATGAAGTGTCCAAAACAGGCAAACCCATGGAGATAGAGAGTGGGTGAGTGGTTGCTGGGAAGGACAGTGGATTGAGGGGTGACTGCTAACGGTCCAGGCCTTCCTTTGAGGCTGATGCAAATGTTCTGGAGTTATGGTGGTGATGGTTGCCCAGCTGTGTGCGTATGCTAATGACCACTGAGCTGTACGCTTTAAAAGGGTGAGTCTTATGGTATGTGAATTATATCTCAGTAAAAAGAATTATACAAGGAAATAGGATATAAAAGCAGTGAATACATTAAACTCTTGGTGCTCAAGCCAAACAGTTGGATGGCTTTAAATTTTAATAAAATGTAACAAAGCATATAAGAGTCAAAATCATCTTTTTATGCTTCTATTAGTGTATGTCCTTTTAATGATTGACAAGTTAGCAGCCAGGAAGAAAACTGACATTTGTCTGTTCAACCCCAAGTTCTGAATATGTTAAGCTTTGGTTAAATCATTTACATCAGCAACTCCCTCCCTTAAAAAGATACTAACGAAGGCATATCTATTTATTCTTTTAAGAGTTATTAAAAAAAATAGGAGACTTCCACCAAGATGGAGGCATAGGTGCAGACGCTGTGCTTTCTCACACAACCAAGTTTAGAGACAACAAAATATTAGCAACAGAAAACACAGTCAGAACACAGAAAATTGAACTTTTCGGAAGTCTGATAATGAATGCTTCAGCCTGACTGGTAAGACGGGCGAAGCCAGCAGCTGGCAGAGCGGGGTTGCACAGGAAAACTCGATCAGACAGACTCAGGCGCATGGATCTCAGGCGTGGGGTTGCAAAGGATGGACCCAGTGAGTGACCCAGTGAGTGACCCAGTGAGCGACCCGCAGATCCAGCGAGGGCACTGGGCGGCGCGTTGACTGTGGTGCCGCATTCCTGCGCAGATAGACCGGCGAGAGAGTGGGCAGTGAGACAGGACCAACCGCTGGGGCCCCAGCGGCAGGCGGCAGCAGAGAGGGACGCTGTTTCCCCACTCTGACCCCGCCCCCACATACAGCATCACAACCCAGTGACCCTGCCCTGGTGGCCCCGCCCTGCCCCTAAGGCTCCGCTCCTCATATTTAACGGGCTCAAACAGACCAAAAATGCCTCAAGAAGATCTCAAAGCCCCAGAGCCCATAACTCTAAGCAACCAAGAAATAGCCAGACTTTCAGATGCACAGTTCAAAACACTGGTCATCAGGATGCTCACAGAACTGGTTGATTTTAGTCACAAATTAGAAGAACATATGAAGGCTAAACTAATTGAAATGAAGGGAATTGCACAGGAAACCAATAGTGATGAAAAGGAAACTGGGTCTCAAATCAAGGGAGTGAACCAGAAGGAAGGAAAAAATGACCAAACAGGAAAATATGAAGAAACAAAAATTCAGAAAAATGAGGAGAGGCTTAGGAACCCCCAGGACATCATTAAACACTCCAACATCCAAATTATGGGGGGTACCAGAAGGGAGAAAGGAACAGCCACCAATGGAAAACTTCTTTGAACAAATAATAAAGAAGAATTTCCCCAATCTGGCAAAGGAAATAGACTTCCAGGAAATCCAGGAAGCTCAGAGAGTCCCAAAGAAGTTGGACCCAAGAAGGAACACACCAAGGCACATCATTACATTAGCCAAGATTAAAATGAAAGAGAGAATCCTACAAGCAGCAAGAGATAAGGGGACAGTCACCTACAAAGGAGTTCCCATCAGACTGTGAGCTGATTTCTCAAAAGAGACCTTACAGGCAAGAAGGGGCTGGAAAGAGGTATTCCAAGTCATGAAATCCAAAGACCTACAACCAAGATTACTCTATCCAGCAAAACTTTCAGTTAGAATGGAAGGGCAGATAAAGTGCTTCTCAGATAAGATCAAATTCAAGGACTTCATCATCACCAAGCTCTTATTATATGAAATGTTAAAGGGACTTATCTAAGAAAAAGAAGATAAAAAAAAGATGAACAGTGAAAGGACAGCAAACTCACAGTTATTAACAACCATATCTAAAACAAAAGCAAGCTAAAAGGACAGCTAGATCAGGAGTGGAACCATAGAAATGAAGATCTCATGGAGGGTTAGCAACAGGGGAATGGGAGAAGGAGAAGGGGGGAGAAGGTACAGAAAATAAGTAGCATAGACAGTAGGTAGAAAATAGATAGGGGGAGGGCAAGAATAGTATGGCAAATACAGAATCTAAAGAACTTGAGATACATGGACATGAACTAAAGGGGGGAATGATAGGGGGGTACAGGGTGGAGGGGAATGAAGGGGGGAATAGAATAACTGTAATGGCATAATCAATAAAATAAAAATTTAAAAAAGAGTTATTAAAAAATAATAATGGGACAACTTTCAGAACATCTCCAACTACTACTACTCTGTTCTTTTGTTTGTTGTTCTCCTCTCTGGTGGTTTTTCCCAGAAGAAATGAGGTGGACGAGAAAGTTGTACAGATCCTTCAATCGTTTTTAAGACTTTTTAAAAAATCTTAAAAGTAGTTTAAACTTAAGACTCTTGTGTTCTTTTTGTCCCCCAGAGGTAGGAAATTTATTTTAAGTAGTAGAAGTAGTTGTAGAGCACTTTGTTGGAGGAGTCCGAGAGAATACTAGAGTTTTCATTCCCCCCTGTGTGTCCATTGTAAACCTGTTTGTGCACATCTGCTCCCTCTACTCTCAGTCCTGTCTGCCCGGCACCACGTGCTCTAGCTGCGGTGATCTGCTGGCTGGGGTGGAAGGGTGTCTATTTTTTATTACAATTGCCCAGTGACCTTCGAGGGGAAGCATTGGTGGACATACCATTATTCATTTATCTGTTTTCTGGGCCTCTACTTGATTGCAGTGTCTGAGAACTGGACTATCACTTGAGAAGCATGTTTACGACGTATTCTCATAAAGGTGGTTGAAAAGAGAATGGGCGGGCCCCAGAGTGAGTCCTCTTTGAGGAAGCCTTTCACAAGTGAGTTTTGATACCAGATTAAGAGAAAGAATCAGAGTAATTCCATATTAATTTTACAGTGTCAAAGTAGTGTCCATCTGATGTAATAAAACCCGCTTTTTAAAGCTTTCCTATAGCCTGCTGTCTTTTTTTTTCTTTTCTTTCTCCATGTAATAGTCACACCATACATGCTAGGCAGCTTACTTCAATCTTGGTGGGCCAGACCATTGGCCCCCGGAGCCCTATAAGCAGCTTAATCAGTTCTCAGCCTCAGTAGTGAAGTGAGGGAGGCAGAGCAGGGGCCCATCACACTCCCTGTGGGCGGGGTGGCGAGGGCTGCCTGCATCCATTTACTCTAAGGCCTGGTGCTTTGTGCCTGGCTTTAAAACCCCCAAACTTATCATATTTAGAAGAGGTTTAATTCAATTGCTTTTCCTGCCTGGGGTGGCTTAAATTGGATTTAGCTTTTGATCTGTCTACATCTAGGCTATCAGTACTGAAGGGCACCTCCACCCCATCTAACCTTGGCTTCTGAGTAAATTTCAGGCATGTTTTCTGAATCTGAACTATTCTTGCAAGTAAATAGGTAAAGGAAGGGAACACACGGAGGGGGGAAAATACTATTGCTTTGTGACAAGCGTGTTGGTGGTGGTAGCACGTGACCCAAAGGCACTACCCACTCGCCAGCCCCTTACTGTCCTGTACCATCTCGGCCTCGTCTGGCTGCTTTGTCGTCCTGTTTCATGTCAGCCTCAGGAGGTTTAGAGTAAGTTATTTCTCCCCACTCCTAAGATGACATTCTCTATAAAAGCAGGCCTTTCTCTCATATAACAGAGCTTGGAAACGTGCATTTCAGTTTATATGTTTTTCAGGGGAGGGGAGGGTAAACTAAAGCAAGTAACTAAAGAATTATAGATCTCAATAATAACATAGATGCTCTTCCTGATGGCTGATTCCTTTCTACAAATTTCTCTTAAGTGAATTTGATTTTTCTTATTAGTTTTTATTTAAAAAAATAAAACAATAGACATTTTTCTTTCCAAAAAGAAAAAAAAGGTAAGCACTTAATAAACATTATCAAGGGGGATTGATAATTTAAGTATATACAATCTTAAAATACCATACACAAAAATACTAATAATGCCTTAAATAATGATGCCAAAAGAATTCTGGTATAAAAATATTTACAATTTTATCTCTTTCTACCTCTACCTGTCTCTCTCTCTCTCTCTCTCTCTCTCTCTCTCTCTCTGTGTTTTCAGTTTTGTAAGTAACAATCCCCAAAGTTTTAGCCCATAGACTTAGCTCAACAATTTGGCTCAAGATTTCAAGCTACCTCAATGTTTCTGATGTTACATTCAAGACAGTTTTTTCCCCTTCTCATCACTTGACTTTACTGGCCTCTTTGCATGTGTTCTCCTTTACCGTCCTGTACTTGGACGTCAGTCAGT